ACGAGCTTGATGGGCCGAATGGCCTCCTCTCGTTTGTAAATTTCTTATGTTCTTATGTTCTAAAGACAGTACCCTATGGGCTGATATTTGTGCCACTAGAAACTGAATATGAATTTTGCACAGTTGAATCTGCAGTTATCCGCATTACAAAACTGAATCTGAATTTAATAGTTTGAATCTGAATTCCAGTAACTTGAAATAGCATTTACCCTACCTCGAAAAATTCAGTTCGCAAATTCAATTTCAATCTAGTGTGACACACATCCGGGTCGTTGAGAAAAATTAATCGACCGCAGATTCACAACGCAACTCATTTCCACGTTTACGACAGTTCTGCAGGTCGGGGTAAAGAGGAGGCGTGTGGATGTCAGAAAAACAAATGCTGGATTCGCAGGTTTGTCGTCACCATACGATATATATGAGAATAAGCTTTATATACACAAGCGATAGCATAAACATTAACCATACGTCTGGTTAGTATATGTGGTTAAATGAACGATTTCTGGCACTTCCAGTTTATGTTAATATGGTAAACTACAGCACTATACTATGGAGAACTACAGCACTATACGAGGGTCAGGGAATCATCGCGTAGGATAGTAAGAGGGTTGGGAAATGGTCGCGTAGGATAATAAAAAGGGTCGCGGAATCATCGCGGCGTTTCGCCTAGACGTAGCGTTTTCATCGCTCTTGAGACGGAAAACGTCGCGATTACATCGCCTGGACGCAGCTGTTACGGAGGCGCTAAGTAGTGCCAATGTGCAAATGACCTAAATGCTACTAAATACCGACCTTCAAAAAACGTATTAGCGACGTAGCGCCGACGTACTTGTGCTGACTGGGTCTGCTATACAACCCTCTTATGCGTCTGACCAAATTAAGTGATATCAAACTTGTCTACTGAATGACCACCTTAAATTATTTCTATTATAAATTATTTGTGACATATGATTTTCTTTGTGCCTTATTAAATACATATTTTATGTGTGTTTTAAAAATATAATCAAGAGAAATGGCACTATTAACAATGTTTAAACTGAATATATTCATATTGATTTACTGTCCAGTGTCCTATCCTGGAAGCAGCCACTCTAATCACTGTTTCTGTCGTGCAATTAAAGTAAACTGTACACTGCATAATTAGCACTGCAGACTTAAAGAAGTCAAAGTCACCACAGGATTTCTTAGTGAATTTATTCTTTCACAATGAGATGCCTTTTAAATATGACAAAAACAGAATTACACAAATAATATTTAATAATATATGCGTATATTTGTGTGTATCTATTAAAGAATGGATATCACCAGTTCTCAGAAAATAAGATTTCACTCTGGCTAAATCCAAATCATCAAATACAAATCAAATAAATCTGTCACAATATTTCCATGTATGTACTTGTTCACTGGGTCCCCTGTTGCCTGAACAGTCCATGTTAAATCCCATGTATCATGTTCTCTTTTCCCAGCTCTCTGCACAGCCCTCCAGGGTTCCAGCTGGGGGCACTTCCATGCGACTCGCATACGGATTGCAACTCTGCTTAACAAGACTGCCGTTTACCTGTGGCCTGTTTGCAGCGAACTGACCCCGTGCAACTTTCGAGAATCTCTGCCATCTTTCACCTGTGGAAAAAGAGCCAAGAAAATAATCATCTGATCAATAAAATTACACACACACACACACACACACAGGAGAGATACTCCATTATTTTTTTCGAGATTCCATCAGAAATCTAAAGCCTCCTCAGTAGATTTTGTGTGTGTTTGTGTGTATGTGTATAATATATGTTCTTAATTTTTGTTAACAGTATTTTGATTATAATTAATTTTCAATATAGCCTAAATATATAAATTCTACTGAAAACAGCATCTGAACAAATTATTATTATTATTATTATTATTATTATTATTATTATTATTATTATTATTATTATACCACACTAATTTCAACCCTGCAATATTTACATTGCAGGGTTTTTTTTTTTTTTTTTTACTTAATAAGCATAGAACTATACAAAAATATTTTGTTTTGCCGGCATAGTGGTTAGAACTGCCACCTCCCCCCGCCAGGACCAAACATTTTTAGGGGCCCTAGAAATCTGGAACATAATAGGATTGGTCTGGGTTGGAGGCCCAATACCATTTGCTTTCACGGGGCCCAAAGCCTCTGGCGGCACCCCCTGATTGAACTTGCAAAAGGTCCTGCATGTAATATTTGCAATATTTTGTAAGCAACGAAAAAATTACTAATTTTAAATTGGTTGCAGCATTCAAATTCCAGTTATATAATTTATATTTAAGATAAAACATTAATCAAGAAATCATTCAGTACTATTTCAGACATTCCTTAAAACCAGCTTAAACTTTTTTTTCCTCCTATATATATGCCAGAGAAATGTGTTTAAAACTTTAAGACTCTGTAACTAAATCTATAAGACCAAAATACACTTCACTCAGTGACTCAGTTGTCCAAGTTTGAATATTTTATTTTTTAGTTTAAAAAAGCTTGCTCCTTGACTTTCAAGGGTAATCAAGAACAAGATTTACAGGAAAAAAACATGATTATAAATAATCGAAAAGAAACGTACCCACTTCTTTTGATTGCTGAGGCAGAAGGTGCATATTGCTCTTCGTTGCTTTAATTCACTATCCGCCTGAGCGTAGCGCACAGCTGTCATGCATGGCTGTCCATCCGTACCGCCCTCTCCTGTCAACAGGACGTTCCCCAAATGCGAGATGTAGCTGGAGGCTAAGCGCAGGGTTTCTATCTTGGAGAGCTTTCTGTCCACCGGCTCAGTGGGTATGAGAGTCCGGAGGGCCGAGAAGGCCGTGTTCACGCTCATTGTGCGGTCCCTTTCCCTGGCATTGGCTACTCTCCGCTGCTTAATGAAGACGACGTCGCTGGTCACCATCCCCTGGCGCAAGTCTGAGCCCGGGCACCATCCATAACTCCGGTTCGAGCTTCCGTCACTCTCAATCCGGTTTTCTTCATCCTCGGACAGCATAGTGATGTCTGTGTAAAATGGATAATTTGCCGTATGTTTTAACATGATCAATGATATCGATTCGGTCCAGCAAAACTATATATAGCGCTTATAGGCTATAAGTGGAAAAAGTTAAGTTGCATGTAAACTTCGTACTAATTAAGGCATCTTGCAATATCCCATTATCGGAAAACGGCGTTTTAAAATTACTTATTTGTTGGATGAATATTAATATGTAGAGACGCCAGATGTTGTGGTGCGCATCGAGGGCTGAACTTAATCTTAAAAATGCTGGGGAGGGGTTTTTCGGGAGGGTGTGGGGTCTCTCAGAAAGTTCCAATTTTTCTTCTTCTTCTTTTTCTTCTTCTTCTTATTATCATTATTGCGATTACATTCTGAAAATCAGGCATGATGTTTCAGAAAAAGTTCTGAAACAGTAGCAAAATAAATGTAAAAAAATACGATAACTATAGCATCCTATAATTTGTGCAGACAGGCATATTAAATGTTTTAAAATAATTTTTATAAAAAGAACCATGAGAATTAGAAGGACTGATTAATAATTTTATCGGAAAATGTAAATGTTATGAATTCGTTATTTCGTTAAAAAAAGTAATTTTAATTTATAGATTAAAATATACATTAAATCACTTGAAACATTACGTTTCCATAAAGAGAACCCGTATTTAACTGTCGCCTTTGCGTACGCAACTCGGCCTTTTTATGAAGTTAAAGGTTTATATGTCGTTGTTTAACACACAAAATAAAACAATTGCTGCTTATGTTTTAGTATCACGTATAACAATATGTGAAAATACAGACCTTGTATTTGCAGGGATTTATATGGATGTAATATCTGCAAGTCAAATACGTATTGCAACTAGTCGTGGGGAGTGTTACGATGCAGAAACTGAAGAAGCCAGGGTATCAGTACAGGCTAATCTGTCAGAAAAATCTCTCTAAAACATACTAAATCCATATAATAAGCATACATTATTTGGGCCTGTATAAACATATTTAAATAAATGGCAAATTAGTTTGCATCACTCTTGTGAGTTCGGTAAACCAATGAATGTATAAGTCACCTATGTGCAGTAACTTAAAATATTTTGTGCTCAGGGCCATATTCAGCTATGAGGTGAGCGAGGTCCAGATCTCCATAATTTTTTAAGAGCTAAAAATAAAATTTGAAGCTAAAAATTCACCTAAATAAAAAAGCAGCAGCTGAACATGTCTTGGGGCCAAGTGCATTCTGTCCTGTCCTGCCTCTGCCCCTCCTGTTTTTTCCTTAGTATGGCCTCAACGAACTGCCCATGCTCATTGTTTGTCTTACCTCTTGTTTAAGCCCTTGTGCAAATTACTCCAGCTGCCTCTCCTTTGCTCCCTTGTTAGTCCTGTATAAAGTGCTTCCCAGTCCTGTGTTCCCCAGTCCTGTCATTGATGTCAAGCCTGTGTGTGTGTGTGTGTGTGAGTGTTTGTGTGTGCACGCGCACGTGTGTCCATCTGTGCCCAAGTCTTTTCCCGCTCTTGTTTCTATTTTCTGACACCTCCTGAGTTGTTTTGTTTCCCAGTCCAATTCGAAGTTCATTAAAACCCTTTTATTTTCCCCAGTGCCTGCCCTCGACTCCTGTGATTTCAGGTTGTAACACATTCTTAATCCAGTTCAAATGTGTTGTTAATGGTGTCTGCTGTGTGAGAGAGAGCACTAGAGCATTCAGTATCAGCATGATAGATGATGCGTGACTTGTGAACCGCATGTCTGCACTTCTCTGAAGTTCGAATTCACACGTGTGTGTGTGATCATGCAGCATTGTGGGGGAAGGTGCACAGGCTGCATATTCTGTAAGAAAAAACAATGATCATTATCTGTAAAAAGGCGGCTTGTTATGTCATCATGGAGTAAAGATAATTCTATGAAACAATTAAATACAAGTATAGGCTGGGCTACTCTGGCCATGTTAAAGGGTTTCTTTCCTGTTATGCCTAATGGGCTAGATTAGGCTAACTAATGTTTCACATAATGTTATTAATTAAAAAAAAACAGCTCATGAAGGTGACGGTACGAATACTGCCCATAGAAACATTTCAAAGTCAAATTTGGATATCAGAACAAATGCATTTGATGTAGGGTTGTAATAGTATATTAATATCAAACATTTGTCATTTTATGTTTATATATGGTTACAAATAACCTTAAATTACATGCTTCATTCGCATAATATTTTACTACTCTATAATGTTCTTATGACATAGACCTAAATTCATTCAGTAAGGCACATTCATATAATAGCTCCACATAACTTGCTGTAACCTAAACTATTCATTGATACAGTATGAACTCTAATTTAACACTGCCTATCTCCCAGAAAAAAGTGCTGTACTGAGTAGGGCAGACATGTCAAAGCGATTAAAACAAGATAAATTACATAGGTTGCTTACAATGAAGCCTAATTTACATTAGCCCTCATAAATAATGTGTGATTAATGAGACCCAACCCCCCCCACCCCTGGGTCCTGGACCTCACTAATTTTCAAACCCTGACTACGGTCCTGTTGGTGCTCGTATTGTTTTTAATCAGCAGTTCAAAATGAAGTCCTATATTACCACCTAATAAGGCATCACACAATATAATGATGGTTTGTATTGCAGTTCAACTGACTTCAAAGCAGTGCAGTGTAAAACAAAGCATTAAAGATTTAATATTAGGGAAACTGATAGTGGGGCACAGATGGACCAGTTCCCTGTACAGAGGTACTGATAGTGCACAGACAAACACAGCTTAGCACATCAGACCTGTCTCTTTCGTTCAACTGCAACATTACAGCTGTACATTAGACACCTATCCTGCATTGGGGGGCACTCAGTGCTATAGGTGACACGGTACATGTGTTTTTCTCCAGGAAAACAACTGGAAACTGTAAAGTGTTTCAGAAACAGTTCATTTGCAAGGCACCAAGTTCCACAAAGGCTACTGCTGCTTGATTGCATGCACACATGAAACTGTATTCCTAAAAAAATATTTTAATAGTGGAGGAGCTGTAAAATGTATTATTTCTCTTTAATAAAATTTGATAGCATGTAACAGAGTAAGAGGTGAAGATGTAGAGAGGGTTCCTGCCTGGATGTGACTTTGGGAAGCAGCAGGTGCAGCTCTTCTCTTCAGCAAGCTTTTGTGTGTCCTGGGAAGTCTGAGGACACAATCACTTCCAGACAGTCCTAAAGTCTTTTCCATGCAACAGGAAGCCACCTCACACGCGATGATTCTTTGGAGAAATGTTAGAGTCCCTTTGGATCCCCCTGAGACAGAGATGGTTGCTTTGGCCCAGTTCTGTCCACTTCCTCTAGGGTCACAGGGGGACCAAGAGCTATATCCCAGTGTATAGGGAGCTGAGGGCTGGGCTTACTTATCAGTTCCAGCATCATCTTTCATCACAGGTTTTCCATCAAGGTCAGCTGCCTGATGAAAGAACCTATTAAAAGGGGTAATCAAAAACCCCTTTGTTTCTGGGCCTATATACAGTACAGCTTATCAAGCCCCACCAGCTTCATCCGTATCCGTGAGTCCAAAAGCTTCCATCTTAACCCACAGTCCATGCTTTGCATGTCATGGTCTTGCAATAATCATCTGCCCCATTTTGGTCTTTAATCTAGCATCTATAAGTCAGTGTGTATTTCAGTACCTTGGTTTTGATCCTACCTTGATTCGTTTACTAGGGATCATTCCACTGCTAATTAAATTCTAACTGATAAAACCAATATATAGGAAGAACAACTGAGAACAACATATGTCTTCATTATACATGCAGCAACTGTGTTAAACCAATGATAGAAGACTTAATGAAATTACAATAACATGTTGCACATGAATGACTGATCATGCACCCTTAGAAAAATTTGTAGTAAATGATAAACAATAAATGGTTCTGGGATCATACATACCTGTTTTTATTTTTTAAAAATACTGTACATACAACCCTATTTCTGAAAAAGTGGGGATGCTGTGTAAAATGTAAAGAAAAACAGAATGACTTCATTGGGCCTGAGGTAATTTAAATGGACTGAGGCAAAATGGAAAACTGCCCTATGGTGTGATAAATCATAATTTCAAATTTTTAGGTAATCATGGATGCCACTTCCTTTGGGCTGCAGAGGAGAGGGACCATCCAGCTAGTTATCAGCAGACAGTTCAATACCCAGCATCCATGATGGTATGGGGGTGCATTAGTGCCCATGGCTTGGGTAGTTTGCACATCTGGGGAGGCACCATGAATACTGAACAATATATACAGGTTTTGGAGCAATATACACAGCCATCCAGACAATGTCTTTTTCAGAGACAATGCCAAACTGTATTCTGCATGTTACAACACCATGGCTCCGTAGTAGAAGAGTCCAGACCAGTCACCCATGTCACCCATTGAAAACATTTGGAGCATCATGAAATTGAAAATGCGACAAAGGAGACCCCAAACTGTTGAGCAGGTGAAATCCTATATCAGGCAAGAATGGGACGACATTTTATTTTCAAAACTCTAGCAACTCAGTTCCCAAACATTTACAGAGTGTTGTTAAAAGACAAGGTGATGCAACACAGTGGTAACCAATGTTTTTGAATCGTGTTGCTGGCATCAAATTCAGATTGAGCACGTATTTGTCATAAAACAAGAAGAATTCTCAGTTTCAACATTTGATATGTTGTCTTTGTTCTATTTTCAATTAAATATGGGTTTGTATGATTCATAAATTATTGCATTCTGTTTTTATTGACATTATGCACAGTGCCCCAACTTTTTTGGAAACAGGGATATCAGCATCTTGTACAGCGATCTTATCCCCGGTCGGAATTGCTGCAGCTCCACCAGTGCAGTGCAGTTGTATTTATTTATTTAATTTTTTTGTAGGGAATATCTCGTGAGGTCAGTGTCATATCCGCACAAATCATTTTCCCTGCTGAGCCTGGTTGTGACTATTCTAAATGGGTGAGACTGAATTACATTACATTGATGGGGCTAAGTGTTTGACACATTGCCTTGACTAAAGTCTGAAAATATGCTTTTCATTACTGTAGCCGTACCCCTTCTCTCTGCCACAAGGGGGAGGTAGTCTCGGGGAATGTGTGGTTAGGGAATGTATGCAGCTTGGAGTGTGCATTATCTTTTCAGTGGCCCTAGGAAAAGCTTTACTTGGGAGGCCCCCCTACAAGAAAATTGATGATCATTTTGCTTTTTCTTCAATGCTGGTAAATCTGGGGCCCAGGGCAACTACC